CGGCATTTTTGTAATATACGAAAAGGATAGAGGAAAATGTAAAGTTTTGATACCAATAGCCAAGTAGCCGCGGTAAAGAATAGTTTGATGTAAGCTATTTGATATGTGTAGTAGGCCATACGTTCTAGTATCTATATAGGGTTTAAGCTGAACAAAGTGTACGAATTTTAAAATGTGAAATTGTTTAACAAATACACAAAATCGACACGGAACACACTTACACACACAAGGACATAGACCTCCTGCAAACAGTTGAAACGATGCACAAACATTAAATTTATTTATATAACCGAAATGTAAACCCATTTGTATTCCTCCATTTTAAAAGGCTCAAAAACGCGCAAATGTAATTCCAGACCCAAATCCAATTGCAATATCCGAGAAGAGAAGCTTTAAATTATTTTGTATGGCAAATTACACACCTTTAGTTGAAAAAACAAACCCCCTAAACAATATCTAAGTATAAAGAGAGTAATTTATGTAATTACAGAAAAGAATAAAAGCAAGAGAAAGCAAACTATTTTGTTACAAGAAAAGAGACAAGATGAAGTCCTGTATGATTTTTCAAAGTGATTTCCTAGTTTCTCTAGTTTTGTAAATGCGATGACGGAGTTATAATAGAAGGTACAAAATATCGGAGAGCAATTTTAACGATTTTTTAATTAGAAATTCAACAAAAGCAAAGCCAATTCCTTTTAAAAACTAAAAATTATTAAAATAACTTTAAACTAATACCCTTTCAAACCATTCTAGAGCCTGATTAACCTTAGGTTCTGATCATTCATTGATCTTACTATAATTGGCAAAGTCCGAATCGAAATTCCTCAACGAAAAATCTAACAAGAAATTACTTTAGAGATACATTTTTGGGATTTAATCAATCAATAAATAACTAAAAAAACATGTACGCAACAAAACATATTTCCTAATACAATGGAAAGAAAAACAACACAAGGAGCGAGAGTTGAACAAATTTAGGTTCCTTTCATTTGACGGCGGGCGCCTCTAGTAACGAACAAGAAAAATATTTATAAATTCTAAATATATTTAGGAAGAATATATGGATAACGAGAAAAACAAAAATACGCAAATATAAATATTGTAAACTAAGGCTTTTAAATGCGAACTTTAGCTCGAATTTGTTTTTAGTGCCCCCTTCCGACCCGCCCGAAGCGTCAGCTATGGAATGCATTGAAACAATGTTGACCATTCGACAGAAATTTACACACAACATACATACATATTTTAAAATGCATTTTTATAACGCGTATATATATATATAAATATATGTATATTTGTACGTTAACACCGATCGATCGTATTATAGGTTTGTTAGAATGTTTTTTATCAAGTGAGAGAGAAGCGAAGCAACAGAGAGGGATCTTGGAATAAAGAAGTTAATTTATATAAACGTGCATTACAAAACTGGTTAAATGGATACAATATGCTAAAAGAAATATATAAATATACATATAGAGCAATTACAATTTATATAAATGTGAATGAAACTCTATAACTATGTGAATATGATGCATATATGTCTGTAAAAAAGGATTTATACTCTAGTCGGGTGTAAGTTAAAGCATTTAATTCGTAAACAAAATCTGTGTGTGTGCATGTCCCTTAAAAGTCAGCAATATCACTGGTTTACACTGGTTATACCCGCAGTTGTCTCTGATTATTGGTGCAGTTGGAAATAAATTGTGAAAATTAATTAATTTATTAACTGTTAAACTTATATCTGAGTTGCCAAATTTATAACTTTTTAATGTTGAAATTAATTGTAAAAGTAGGCATTAAAATATTTTGGTATTCCTATTCAAAGTTGTAATAGCTTAAAGATACTATGGGGTTTCGTTTAAACTAATTTAGCTTTTGTATTGTTGAAATGTTTTTTAACAAAAAATAATATCTGAACTTGTAGCTTTTCTAGTTTATCCATTATTTTGTATTTCTTAAATAGGAATTGTAGGTACAACATTATTTTAAAGTTAATGTTGGTTATAATGAGATCCAACTGCATCCAATCATCATATAATGGCAATACTGTGGATGGAATATTTTTCAATTTTGTAAGCTAGTGAAAGTCACTGAAAAAATTGAATACCAAGCTAAATTTAAACATAATTTTTAATGTTTTTATATAAAATACCTTTTTATAACTAGCATACATATTTATATACATAAATTATATAGCAAAGTGAAGGAGCCCTGCACACCAGAGAGTTACCCAGATGATGATGACAGGAATTCATTTTATTTTTTATTGTACGTTTTTGTCTAGTACCAAGATGCATTCAATTTGATAAATGTTTAATTTTAATGTATGAAATATACAAAACTAGGCGATAGATAAAAAACCCAAGTTAGGATACACACAGAAAATGAAAAAATAGTTAAAATGCTAAAACGTACGTACGAGTATTACATGTACCTAAGTACCAGGAACGCTAAATATATATATATGTGAATACCATCTAGTATATGTGAAACGAAGTCGAAAATTGATTGATCTAGCCACCCTAGCCCACGGATCCGAATGGAATATGGAATCTATAACTACCTACCTATGACTAATCAAACCCAAAAACCAAACGCGAAAGATTGAATGTTGTTTGTTTAATGTTATTAAATACACACACCGATAAAGGCAAGCATCATTTAAATGGATAAAGATGACAATTGTTGGCCCGGCGGCACGTTGGAGGTGCTTATCTAAATACAAAACATTGAGAACAGGAGTGTGAAGGACTAGGTTCTGAAAAGCTTTAATCTAATACATGTGTATTGATACTTACCATATTGTAATACATATTTGGGTTCGTTATATCGATATACGCCCAGTCCCACGCCACTATAGCACCCACTTATGCCTCCAACGTGTCCATCAAATAATTAATATTCTATACAAACAAACCAACATATATATATGTATATACATATATATATATGTGTACAATATATGCGCATTATGCAAACAAAACAAAAAGGAAAAAAATAAACACATGGCAAAACAATCTATTTAATAATGAACTCGCAAACGCAAATGCAAAAATACGTACTTACGTATTTATAAAAACAAAAAATACATTCATTTTTTATTTGATTGTCAATATTGTTGCACCATTTAGAAAATAATTAATTAATGAATTATTAAATATTTTTGATGTCCAGGCAGGCAGGCAGAAAGGCGGAGAAGTAATTGCAACAATGTTGATTGAAAAAATGTCACACAACATTCACTCGTGTGTATTGGCATGAACAGTTTGATGTTAATGTGAGCTACTGAATAATTATGCAAAAATAATAATAAAAGAAGAAAAAAAAGAAACAATAGAAATTCAATGGAATAATATTATACATAAATAATCAGCGCTAGCGAATGCCAACTGCGTGCGAAGAGTAATTTGAATAAACAAAAGGAAAATTGTTTTCATATGTCTGAGCGGTGTGCGTGGTTTTCCCTCTCCTTATTTTCCGAAAAAGAATTTACTTATTAAGGATTTTTAATTTGATATTTAATATTTCGGGTTGCGTTCGTGGAAGAGCTGCCAAAACTTTGGCAGCGCATCTGACCCGAGGATTGGGTGGTCCCTTGGCCCCCGGGGGATCATAATTTATGCATTTTACACAACCTGAATAATTGATTAATGCACAGCGGACTTTGGATCACCGCTGCGGTTTAGATGCCGGGAGCGGAAGTTGGGACAGATGGTCGTCCAGATGAACGGAACGGAACGGAGCGGAAAACCGCAATGTGGAAAAGCCATTTGCTGTTTGCTGGCTTCCTCTTCGACAGGCCACCACCCTTCACCTGTCACCTGTTCCGTTTTGGGGAAAATCGCTCATAGAGAGCCAGATATTATGAGCACTTAAAACGGTCGCCAGCAAACGCTGTTCTGACCATTTTTGAGAGGATTCGCTGCGGTTGTATCTTGGCTATATGTCAGTCAGTCAGTCAGTCAGAGAGTTAGTCAACCTGGGACGAAGTCCAGCGAATCTGTCGTTGGAACTCGAGCAGCAGTTCTTCATTTCCGGTGAAGCTTAAGAGCCGTGATTCCTTCCCGACTCCTTTCATTCTCAATGTATTCGAGTGCCTGCACGAAGAGAAAATGTTTACTTTAAAATAAACAAACTATTCTTAAAAGAAATAATGCAAATAATCATATCCCAAGCTTATTTTTTCATAGGTTTAGTTATTAAGAAAGTTCTATACAATATCTGTAGAATTTCAGATCTTTAAGTAAACTTAGTTTGTAAATCAATCAAAAAGTGATAGAGACTTGTTCCAGTGTAAATGGAAACTTTCTGTTTGTGCGCAGTGGAAAAACCGAGGAGCAGCAATCGCATAAGCAGCGGAAGTAGCTCGCCTGACCCAAAACCACCCATAACCCAAACCCAAACTCAAACCCAAACCCAAGCCAACTCAGTCCATCCACGTTCCGGAGGCGCCTTCTGTCTTCTGTACTCTGCGGCGGCCTCACCTTTCTCTCTCGCTGCTGCTTTGTACACTGTATGGTTTTCATTTCCGGTTTCCGTTCCTGTTGAGTTACTTAAGCGGATTACAAGAGCGCCGGCAAAGGAAGCCCCGGCCGGGGGAAGGAGTTTGGCCATCGAAGACCGATCCCTGTACTGGCCTCCACCCAATTCCTGTTTTGACTAACAAAATGTGTTGAATTTTAATTGAGATTTATGGGCTCTACACCTGACGCCCCGTGGCCCCATCTAGCGCTGCCTCATTAGCTTAATTATACACGTATTGAATTTCACTTTTCGCCAGCCCACGCGGCGTATGTGTAATGTATTCATAGTTAAAGTGCCAAGTTACTGTGTTTGCTCTTGTTTAATTTAACAATTAAGGTTAGAGGGAAAACCTGGCCCAGGTTCCTTTTTGTTTTAAATTTTAAGTTATATTTCTGTTTAATCGTTCCCAAACTAAGTCTACTTGTCTTTGTTGCTTGCTTTATACTTTATTTAAATAATTGAACCAGTGAAGGTTTCTAAGCCTGGCAATTGGCATTCTCCCAGATCTGGGCCTGAGTCTCGTAGAAGTTCACCAACTCCTCCATGCTCACGTTGGACAGCATGTCGTTGATCTTCGGGACGAAGAAGTTCTGGTAGAGGAAGTCGCTGATCTTGGGCTGGATCTGCTCGAGGGCGAATGGCACCACGATCTTGGTCCACTGGTTCCAGAAGTTGTTGGTCGAGATGTCCCACAGAGCGTTCCAGTTGTCCAGCTCCACGCCGGCCAGGAATACAGTCTGCTGGAAGTCCACCATGCGGAGTCCGGAGGAGTTGGTCAGGCTGCTGGCGAAGCTGTAGCTGCCCACGAAGCGCAGGTCGAAGAGGGCCTCGTTGATCACGTCGTTGCGGCGGATGGGCATCTTGAAGCCTCCGATGTTGATGAAGCCATCGACCTCAGCGAAGCCCAGCATCTGGATCTTGGGGAAGATCAGGTCGTAGGAGGCCACACCGGTCTTACCATAGTCGCTGGCACTCAGCACCTGGAAGCTGTCCAAACCCTCGATGCGCATGTTGGTGGCGTTGCCCACGATCTGGAGATCGTCGGTGACGTACTGGAACTCGTAGAAGGGAGTGCTCAGTGGGGCCAATGGGGGAATGTTGCCATAGCCGCAGGGCATGATGCTTTTGAAGGCCTGCAAGAAGCGGGTCATCGACGAGGAGAACTGAGCGGCACCGGACTGCTGCACCACCGGAGTGGCACTGACGGCAGCTAGACCCAGAAGGGCCACGATGAGGAGCTGGGAGCAGGAAGCCATGTCGATCTCTGAACTGTTTACTGAACTGTTCGGTGAACTGCTGGTGAATGGTTAGCTATCGAGGAGACACAGCTTTTATAGGGGAATCCTTATCTTCGCGGGTGGCACTATTCGCCTGCCTTTGATCGATTGTCTATCGAGGTAATCGCTCTTATCGAAGCCTTAGAGCATTGATCACTGATCCCTTCTAAGTGAGTCACTTGTTTGCCGAGTGTCAGGGGTTCCCTAGGTGGGTGAGTGGGCCAGACTAGACACCGCCTCACGGGTCTTATCGGGTGATTGTGCGGCCGAAATTAATATCTAATTGATTGGTGGCGCTTGGGAAAGGCTGCACGAGCCAAAAATTAAATCGGTTCGATGTAAATAAATGTTCCAAATTTAGAATACATCAATTTCTGTCAATCGAATTTAGAGTGTGGTAAATTCTTGGAAACTGCATTTCTGAGAAATCTCGGTGCACAGCCTCATGCATCAAATTATTGTTTAAATAATTTAATTCCCTTAAGTTAGAAAATGTGTTGGGCTTTTTCTGTAATTATTTACTGATCAGTCTTCAGTTCCAAAAGAGTTATTAGTCTGAAAACACTGAAAATAATTGAATATTTCTTTTAATAAATTCATTTTAAAATGAAAAGAAATTAGAAGTATTAATTAATACAGAATACAGAAATCAAAACAGAAATTCAGTGTTAAAAGCTGAGCTTATTTTAGGCTTTACTTAAAAATGGATGACCTGTACTTAAAACATGCCAAATTGTGTTTTTTTTCGTTAAGGGAATCTGGTGTTATTTAAGCTTTCTAGCACTACTAACTTAAGCTCCTGTTTTAGCAGCCATCTGGCATATTTATAAATATAAAGCTTATTTTGGCTTAGAATCTAGCTTAATCTGACAAGGCTGCATAGATCTTTCCCACGCTTTTATATATCTCTCTCTCTCATTTTCTCACGCTCATGTCAGAAAAAAAGCTGAAGAGTGGGAGTGAGTGCAGAAGCTTAAGAGACCGTAAGCTCTTGTGTGTGCAGCCTAAAACATCGTGGTTTTATTCAGCAAATAAATCTAAATTTGCAGATCAACCACATCTTATTATATCTATGTATAAATACTTGGATAATAATAATTAACCATTCTTCATTGCAAAAAAAGAGCAAGACGGCTGCAGTTATATTAAAAAGTGAACAATTTAAAGTGAAAGAAAAATAATCTTTAACCACACACACACACACCTCATCTTTCTCCTTTCCTCCTTCATTATCTCGTCGTTTTGGAAACGGATCATCGGGATAAAAGACAAAGAGTGATTAGAAAGTAAGTTCAGCAGATAACAAATCACGTGTGCAAAAAAAATGTTAATAAATGTAAAGTGAATTAATGTGAAATGGAAAATATCAGAAAAAAAGCTTGAAAGTCAAAGTAAATAGTGTTTAAATAATTTATAAAAGTGAAGTGGATTTTTTTTTGTTTTTTTCTTAATTTTTTGTTATGTGAAGTGAAATTTATTTTATAAATTTATGAAAAGAAAAGAAAAGTGTTAAAATTGGGGGTGTGTGTGTGTTGACTTTTTTATGTATAGGGTATCTTATGAACTGAGTGTGTCCGTGCGGAGTGCACCTAATTTTAACAATTAAAATATAATAAGATGAAGATGAAGATACATAAATCAGGTAAGTAAAAATGTTCATGATAAACAACAAATTAATTGATTTTATTCAAACTATATAAAATGTTGATACATTTTTTATTGAGAGTAATACAAATTATGAAAAGTTAGAAATCTTTAAAGAATAAACTTACTTTAATACCTACTATAATATATAAATATTCAATATTCTTGGGCTGAAAATTTAAAAGATTCAATTTGAAAAATTTCTAAAAAATTAATTGAATTTTCCAAATTTTTCTAAAAATTAAAAAAAAATTAGCCACTATTATGTTAACAAATAATAATAAAATAAATGTACTTGATCGTGCCTTTCAGTGTTTATAAAACCCTTAAGATTTCTGAGAACGACTTGGTTAGTCTTGGTAGCCATAAATTAATCCAATACATTATGTCCCAAAGACACTTGACAGAAATGGATGGATTCCATGGAAAGCCACTTTGGTTCTCATAATTTGCAGATTATACATTTTGATCAGGCCACCTTTTTAGAGCGACCACCAGCGAAGACCAATCAATAATATATTCATTTTCCAACTCGGTTGGCAACAAGGGTTTCCATGCCACATCTTAAGCCTTTAATCGTGCTATGTTTAGTCTGGTCAAACTATGGCCAAGGAAACTCCAAAGAGGCAACCCACAAGCAGGTGACTCACCTAGAAGCGATCAATGCTCTAAGGCTCCGATAAGTGCGATTACCTCGATAGACAATCGATCAAAGGCAGGCGAATAGTGCCACCCGCGAAGATAAGGATTCCCCTATAAAAGCTATGTCTCCTCGATAGCTAAGCATTCACCAGCAGTTCACCGAACAGTTTAGTAACCAGTTCCGCGATCGACATGGCTTCCTGCTCCCAGCTCCTCATCGTGGCCCTTCTGGGTCTAGCTGCCGTCAGTGCCACTCCAGTGATGCAGCAGACCGGCGCCGCTCAGTTCTCCTCGTCGATGACCCGCTTCTTGCAGGCCTTCAAGAGCATCATGCCCTGCGGCTACGGCAACATTCCCCCATTGGCCCCACTGAGCACTCCCTTCTACGAGTTCCAGTACGTCACCGACGATCTCCAGATCGTGGGCAACGCCACCAACATGCGCATCGAGGGTTTGGACAGCTTCCAGGTGCTGAGTGCCAGCGACTATGGTAAGACCGGTGTGGCCTCCTACGACCTGATCTTCCCCAAGATCCAGATGCTGGGCTTCGCTGAGGTCGATGGTTTCATCAACATCGGAGGCTTCAAGATGCCCATCCGCCGCAACGACGTGATCAACGAGGCTCTCTTCGACCTGCGCTTCGTGGGCAGCTACAGCTTCGCCAGCAGCCTAACCAACCCGTCCGGACTCCGCATGGTGGACTTCAAGCAGACTGTATTCCTGGCCGGCGTGGAGCTGGACAACTGGAACGCTCTGTGGGACATCTCGACCAACAACTTCTGGAACAAGTGGACCAAGATCATGGTGCCATTCGCCCTTGAGCAGATCCAGCCCAAGATCAGCGACTTCCTCTACCAGAACTTCTTCGTCCCGAAGATCAACGACATGCTGTCCAACGTGAGCATGGAGGAGTTGGTTAACTTCTACGAGACTCAGGCCCAGATCTGGGAGAATGCCAACTGCCAGGCTTAGAATCCTTCACTGGTTAAATTATTTAAATAAAGTATAAAGCAAGCAAAGAAGCTGAGTTAACTTACACTTTAGTTGAGGTGGTTATGAGGAATATACATACATATGTATATAGACTAAACTTAAACCAAATCTCTCTATTTTATAGATAGGCTAACTGCTTGGAGGCATCAAGGCTTCAGAGTTTCGATTACTGAAATATAATATTAAGCAAGAAACAACAAATGTTATTAAAACAGTTATTAAAGATGCATTTAACCATTAAAAGAGAAGCCTTGTACATACATATGTAAAAGTTTTTATATATGGAGCATATGCAATAATCAACTTGTGATTTATTTGTATTCGGCTATACATTTTATTTATAGTGTAAATGTTTTTGAAATATTAAATATTCATCGCATAAATTTGTCAAGCTTTTATTTTATTAAATAAAAAATTTCTGCTTTAAAATTTAATTCTTTAAAGTTCATCGATGACTATTTCCTTTAAAGTGATAAATTGCAACTGCATTCTACCCCCTTTTTTGATCCAAATAGAATTTTAGAGATAATCAATATTGGAAACCCAATACCTTCGAATCCCTCATTACAGAGTTTAGTGCAACACAGAGTTTAATGCAAAACCGACTTCTGACAGATGCATCATTAGGCCCTAAGCCATAGTACCACGTGGCGTATGTGTAATGCATCCCCAATTAGAGAACCAAACATAAATTCGTTGCTTGCTAAATATTGTATTTCACTCAAAGCGAAAACACTGGAGGCCTCTAGGCCTGGCAGTTGGCATTCTCCCAGAGCTGAGCCTGAGTGTCGAAGAAGTTAACCAGCTCCTGCATGCTCACATTGGCCAGCATATCGTTGACTTCCGGAACGAGGAAGTTCTGGTACAGGATGTCGGTTATCTTGGGCTGCATCTCCTCCAGAGCCAGGGGCAGCAGGATCTTTACCCATCGGTTCCAGAAGTTGTTGGTCGAAATGTTCATCAGGGTGTTCCAGTTGTCCAGCTCAACACCAGCCAGGTAAATGGTCTGCTTGAAGTCCACCATGCGGAGTCCGGAGGAGTTGGTCAGGCTGCTGGCGAAGCTGTAGCTGCCCACGAAGCGCAGATCGAAGAAAGCCTCGTTGATGACATCATTCTGAGTGATGGGCAACTTGAAGCCACCGATGTTGATGAAGCCATCGAGAGCGGCAAAGCCCAGAATCTGGATCTTGGGGAAGATCAGATCATAGGAGGCCACACCGGTCTTGCCGTAATCGCTTGCACTCAGCACCTGGAAGTTGTTCAGTCCCTGGATCTGCATATTGGTCACATTTCCCACCATGTTGAAGTCATCGGTGATGACCTGGTATTCGTAGAAGGGAGTGATGATGGGACCCAGGGCTGGGATGTTGCCATAGCCGCAGGGCATGATGCTCTTGAACGCCTGCAAGAAGCGGGTCATCGACGAGGTGAACTGAGCGGCTCCGGACTTCTGAACCACTGGAGTGGCGCTGACGGCAGCTAGACCCAGGAGGGCCACGATGAGGAGCTGGGAGCAGGAAGCCATGTCGATCGCTGAAGTGGTTTCTGGTGAATGGTCACCTAACGAGGGAAAACAGCTTTTATAGGGGAATCCTTATCTAGGCGGGCGCACAGCTCGATGGGTATTTGATCGATGGCATATCGACTGGATCGCTTGTTGCGTGCTTTTATCACAACGTAAGGGATTTAAGACCCGGGTT